AGGCCAACACCAAGCAGCACGCCGCCCCTTGCAACTCAAGGGCTTCCTGCAGCAGCAGCAGCTGCTGCTGCTCCTCCTCCTGTTGTTGCGCAAGATGAAAGCGCTGCAGAGACAGGTAAGCGGTTCCCAGCAAAAGCAGCAGCACCACCTCCGACAGGATACGAGACCGCCAGTACTGCTGCTGTTGCTGCTGCTGTTGCTGCTGCAGTACCAATGCAACCTAGGAGGTGGGGGACCGCAGGCGACAGGGAAGGAGAACGCGGAGGCTCGGCAGAAGCAACAGAAGCTGCAACTGCAGCAGCAACTGCAGCAGCACCTGCAGCAGCAACTGCTGAGAACCAGACGCAGCTTTCGGTGTTCGTGCAGATGGAGTATTATGGATTGACACTGCAGCGGCTAGCAAAGGAGGGAAGAACGCTCAGAATCGCAGATGTATGGCGGCTTTTTATGCAGGTACTTTCTGGTGCTGCTGCTGCTGCCGCTGCTCTCGGTGGCGCTACTGAGGCAAACTCGGAACCAGCCGGTCTCATATGCTTCCCACTGCTGCTGCTCCTTGCGCCATTACTTCCGATGCTCCTGCACGTAATACCTTGCGTCAACATTCCATGCTGCTGCTGTGGGAGTGGAACGAACCGTCCTGCTGCTGTTTCTGCTGCTGTTGCTTGTGCCGCTGCTGTTGCAGCTGCTGGAGGCGATGGTTTGTGTGCACCGCGCTGGGACTTGCCACCGGGCCCTGCATCCTTCGAATGTTTTTCTGGTTGAGGGCCCGGAGGGCCTAATCGTGAAGGCGAGTTTGGGGTGTACGCGCACCTCAGGAGTCTGCCTTTTGCTGCTACAGCTCGTTTTGTGGGACGTTCAGTGGGGTTGTTGTTTTTTGTTTCTTGTTGCTGTTGTTGCTGTTCTTGTTGTAAACAGACAGAGCAGCAGAACAACGAACAGAAGACTTTCTTTTGCGCTGTCTGTTGTTCGTGTTACTGTCTGCTTGAGGTTGAAGCAGACGGGCGCGTTGGGGTTTGCCCTTTTGCGCAGCCTTTCTGCTGTCTTCTGTGGCTCTGGGATGGCTGAGGTGTACAGACAGCTGAGCACCGGATGCTTGCTGCTGCCTCCCTGCTGCAGGTGGGCGACTTTGGGCTGCGGCCGCT